TCGGCAAAATGTTAATATCGGACATTCCTAATTATTTTCATGATTTCGTTTTTTTTCCCATTCCGTCTTCGAACTATCTAAATAAAGAATGGCGGTCTCAACCCCGTGGCGCGCTCCACTGGGTTCTTCGGAGCTAGCCTCCATCTAACTTGCCTATTTTTTTTTTTGGCCAAACAGGTTGGAGCAGCTCGTGACGCTGTTCGTCCATAAGAACCAACTGACCTACCTGCCCATGTGCCTCACCAACATCTCCACGATGAAGATGATCATCGTCAGTGGCGACGAGCTCACCTGCACGCCCACCAAGCTGTGCAGTAACCCAGAAATCAAGTAACAAACCAGTGCTGTCGCCACGTTCGCACCTAGTGGAGAAAACGCAGATGACGCCCGTGCTTCACCATTTGAAAAGTTTTTTTTTTTAAATCACTCCGTCATATTTAGTCAATCACATTTTGAGTAATAACTAATTAGGTTTAAGTAGCACAGACAAGTCAGAGGAGGCGCTATATAGTAACAGTACGTAGTGCACTAAGATAGAGAGAACTCCTGTCTGACTCACTTCCTGTTCCGCCGTTATTTTTTATTATTTTTTTATCATCTTCGCAGCTTTAGATTCTGACGCGTGGCCTACTTTTATCGCCCCCGCAGATTTGTCCGACTGTGTGATAACGCACTGAAAAAGAAGAAGAAGGAGGAGAAGAAGAAGAAAGAGAAGACCAGGAAATGGAGGTGGAGAACGCCAGAGGAGCAGCAGGAGGTGAAGGACGGCCGGGAGAAGGAGTTCATCGAGGCGTACGTCAACACCCTGAAGGACAGAGGTGAGACCGAAGAAAAAAAAGAAATTATATTAAAATAAATTTACAGTTATGTCTTATAAACTCCACTGAGTGTTGTTTAAAACAATTATTCATAAAAAAAAAAACTGACATTCTCCCGCTGCACAAAGGGTTAACTTTGGGAAGTGCTGTGGCAGGGCAAGATCAATGACCACTTCTGCCACCTTGTGGCGCCCCATTTTTAATTCAAACTAAAACAAATATATATACACATATACGTATACATATATGTATATACTGTATATATAACATATATACACATATAACATATATACACATACATATACAGTATATAACATATATACATATATAACATATACGCATGTGTATATATAAACATATATACACATATATAACATATATACACATATATACATATATACTGTACATATATACACATATGTACTGTATATATATACATATATACACATACATATATACATATATACACATATGTATATATACAACATATATACATATATACAACCTATATACATATATACACATATATACACATATACAGTATGTATATATAACATATATACACATATATGTATATATATATATATATATATATATATTGGATTTCCTCCACATGACAACTGAACTCGCTCACTATTTACATAGCAAAAGATTGAAATAAATCTCACTTGAAAAATCTGAAATCATTCAGCGTATTTCCTGCCGTGCCCAGGCTAACCAGCAGGGGGCAGCACAGCCCCGTTTGGTAACAAGCGTTAGAATTAGAGTCGACTATAACATTTTAAACAAATGTTAATTAGTGTCTGACCTGGTGAAATTACCTGAAATGACTCGATGTTTGTCCTTCCCAGACACCGTCCCTTACTCCACCACCACGGTTTCCATTTCCTGCCAGCTGTGAAGATGAAGATGATGAAGGTTACACCGGAAGTCTGAGATACGAGAGCGATAGGTTGTTTTTTGTTTTTTTTTTGATTGAAATGAATAATCAGAGAACATGTTTTTCAATAGTTAATTAAGTAAAAAACATTTTTTTTTTACTTTTTGGTTTAGATCGTGTGAGAGATTGATTCAAAACGCTGCATTAACTTCTAATTTTAAAATTTTCAATTAAAAACATTGAACTGCTGAATTATATTCGGAGCTGCAGGCGACTTAAAACGGGTTGAAATTAAAAATATCAAAAGCTTGGTATTTCATATAAATGCTTAAAGTTTGAATTTTTACAAATTTTTTTTTTTTTGATTGTGAAACAAGAATATTTTTGTAGATTTCACAGTAAATGACTGCCGAGTTATTTTTTTTTCCATTCCAAAAATATTTTCCATTTGCATGAAAGATTTTTTTTGTTCAAGAAAAACAAATATTGTAAAGATTTCCATATTCTCCACTTACAAAATTTTACAGGATATATTTTTCTTTATTCTTCAAATTCTACGACAAACACATACACAGACTGAATGTTGTTTAAATACTGTTGTTTGAAATATTTCCAATATTTATGATTGTATGTGAGAGAGAAAAAAAATTGTGTATTTCATAAAAACTGAAATATTTAGTTTCTATTTTTCTAATTTGATTTTTGTCGGCAGTTGCCGTGTGTACGTTGGTTTTTAACGTTTTCTTATTTAAAAATAAACGTTTGTGAAAATGAAGCGTGTTCTGTATTGAAATATAACTGTTATTTTATATTTATATTTTATAAATTTTTATTTTCTAACATTTAGGACAAAAAAAATCAATGTCAGAATTGTTTTAAATCCCACAAAATTCTCTTTATTGTCGTTATTATAATAGATATTATCGGAAACTAAGGACAAAAGCAAATGCACAGATCGTGAACATCTTCATATAAAAAACAGATATGAACATGAAGAATTAGTATCAGAGGCACGCGTTCAAAGAAATTAAAGTGCGGCGTTGGGCAGCAAATTGCTCGGCAACGTTTACAGGGGCGGGGCAAAAGTTTTAGGCGGGGCTAGCCTCTACATTTACTGTCTAGCTCCTTTTTTTGTTTCTTTTCTTCTCATTTTGGAACACATTTATGAGCTATGGTTCAAATGGGGTCAGATGGGGTGTTTGACTGCCTCCTACTGGAGGTCCAATTAGGAACTGGTTCCACATTAGTTTTATTAAAAAAAAAAAAAAAAAAAGGAGTCAG